ACACAGAGCTATTACTGGCAGAACTGGATCTGTGTGTCCAATGTGCCCATTCCTGATTTTCTATCTCATGACAAGTGAATCACCCACAACAGCATCATCTCTCACGATACCTTGTCATAAGAACCTGCCTACTTTTTTTTTCCCCGAGGGCCACAGATCTTCCTGGATTCCCATTTACTGGGTCCATGGGGTAAGAGCCAGGAATCTGGATTTTACACCACTTTGCTTCCTCAGGTGATTTATCAGAATGATGCAAGTGGGAAACACAAGGGAATGGGAAGGCCAAAATGAACACAGGAAGAGAAAAAATCAGATGGTCAGCACCTCCCAAGAGATAGACTCCAGGTCCAAAAACAATTAAGGAGGAGAGCTGGGTGATTCTTCTTGAGAGTTAGGAGTACAATAGGAGACCATGTCTTTTTAGTGTTAGAAGTCAGTATTCAAAGCCTTTAGGGAATATACCTGTGATCACTTCTTTTTTTTTTTTTTAAATATTTATTTATTTGTGCGTGTGTGTGTGTGGGGGGGGCGCCAGCTCAGCCCACCAGGGGGCGTTCTGGCTGGCATGTGGTGCTGGGGGATTGAACCGCAGTCCCTGTGCTTTTTGCTAAGCTTTGTTCTAAGTAGGTGCTTTAGACCACTGAGCCATCTCACCAGCTCCTGTGATCACTTCTTTCCCAAGTTATGCTCTACTTCTGGCAGGAGTCTATCTTATTGACTTTGAAATACACTAGGGCCCTCCCTCCTCCCCTGTTGTAAAGTTTCCTTATCTGTCCACACATTTAAGTACCAGCCTGTTTTAAAAGTTCTTACCATCTGACATAAAGATTCATTCATCATTCAGTTCATTCCATATCAATGTTCCCCTCTGGAGAGGTATTACCCCCAAATCCCAGTGCAAACCTTCAAGGGTGGGCCTCTGCTGCTTCGTGCAGCATTAACGTTTTTCATGGGAACTACTATTTTAAGTGCACGTATCTCTCAACTGTCAGGTCCACAGAATCTTAGGAATTTATCTTAAACATGTTAAGAAAGAAAGAGTATTTATTACAAATAGCACTGTTTGTAAGAACAAAATCAGATATACCCTGCGGTAGAGCTAGCAGTCAAGTGCTCTGAGGTCAAAACAGGGTTTTTTTGTGGTACTGGGGATCTAACTCGGGACCTTGTGCTTGCCAGGCAGGTGCTTATGCTGCAGAGTTATCTCCCTGCTCCCTAAAACCGAGTTCTAACAAAAAACTGAGAAAAACTGAGTTTTACCTCTGACCAAATGTGTAACCCAGAGCAAGTCACTTAACCTCCCTCAGATGTCAGTTTCCTCATGTATAAATGGATTTTCTTACAGAGTTACTGTGGGATTACATGATCAGAGGAAGTAAAGCATTGTTTGGTACGTAAGTAGAGCTCCATAAACATGGCCTCTTCTTACTAGGCAGCCATTAATAACAAACAGTAAGGTACCTGGTGAATATGCAATAACAAATTATTTTGGTTAATAAAAAATAGCAAATCACCTAATGTGCATGATACCCATTTGTTTAATTAAAACATGACAAAGCTGAAAGGGGGAGACTAGGAAAGTAGCCATATATGAATTTCTGAATTCACCTCAGAAACCATAAACAAGAAGTCTGGAGGAGCTGGGGAGATAGCTCAATAGAATAAGTGCTTGCCTGACAAGCACATGGTCCTGAGATCAATGCCCACTACTGCAAAAATAAATAAATAAATAAATAAATAAAAAAGTCTAGAAATGGGAACTTGGGAAACTTTTCATTTTTTGTATGTTTTATTTATTTATTTATTTTGGCAGAACCAGGGATTGAACTCAGGCCCTTGTGCTTGCCAGGGAAGCACTTATTCCACTGAGCCATCTCTCTGGCCCCATGTTTTTGGGTTTTTGAAACAGGGTCTCACCCTATAGTTCAGGCTGGCCTTGAACTCACTATGTAGCCCAGGCTAACCTTTAACTCATGTGATCCTCTTGTCTCAGCCTCTTGAGTGCTAGGATTATAAGTGTGCACCACCATGCTTGGCTTGTTTAATTGTACAAGTTCTTTTTTTTTTTTTTTTGGTACTAATAATTAAACTCAGGACCTTCCACTTGCCAGGCAGGTGCTGTGTTATGAGCTATTTCCCTCACCCCACAAGTTCTAAAAACAAAGGAAAAATTAAAAAATGTTGTATAAAGTAAATCCATATTAATAAGATGAGCTGTAAAAGGCTCAAGTCAATA